ATAGGAAATATCAAGCCAGGCAGAGAGTCAGGGAGAGAGTTTCCAGGCGGTATTTTGTTAGGTTGAAGGAGCCAATCTGAAAAGGCTACCTACTGTATGAATTTTTCCAACCACAGGACATTCTGGAAGAGAGAAAGTCAAGGGGACAATCAAAGGGTGCTAAGGGTTGAGAGGAAGGGACGGATGAAACAGGTGGAGCACAGGGGACATTTAGGGCAACGAAACTGCTCTGCGAGACCCTGTAATGGTGAGTAGGCGTTATTCATGCATTTGCCTTAACTCACAGGTTACTCAACACCAAGAGTGAGCACCAAGACTTTGGGTCATACGGATATGTCTCTGTTCGTTTATCAGGCCTGAAATGTGTCTCCCTGTGTTGCGGCCAGTGCTACTGCGGAAGGCTGGGGAGGAGAAGGGGTTAAGTGGGAACTCTGAACTTGCCCTACACTTTTGCTGCCAAGATGAAACAGTTCTGAATTTTTTTTTTTTAATTTTTAAAAATCCAGGCTGCCAGAACTTCTCATAATTACTGTTATCGCTGCAGATGTCCCCTGAGGCCTCTGTCCTTGGAGGGTGGTAGAAGGGAGGGGCTTAAGGCACCCTGGTGTCTTTCTACAGGTAACTGTTCCTAGAAGACAATGAAGACCAAGGGGGTGGTGGTGGGCGGGGCGGAGGGCAGTGCCTGCAGCCGCTGTGCTGCGTCTGGACAGCTAAGAGGAAGTTTCACCTAGAGGGTTGGTTCTGGTGTTTGTTGCTTGCCGAAAAACCTTGAGGTTTTGCTGTTTCTGTTTGCTGCCCCACACAGCAACTGGGAAGCTGTTAAAAATGGAAATGGATCCTATCAATGTTGTTGCCTACAGAAATGCATTTGGTTGGGAGTGGAGTGTTTGTTGATTCGTTTGGCATAGTGGTTAAGCCTTGGGTTAAGACACTGACACTTCATCTTAGAGTGGCCTGCATTTGAGTTCTGGCTCTGTTTTTGAGTCCAGCTTCCTGCTCATGCGCACCCTGGGAGGCAGTTCCAAGATGGAGTTCCAAGCTCCCAGCTTCCTCCTCAGTCATCAGGGGGCATTTGGAAAGTCACCTAGCAAATGGGAGCTCATTCTCTCTGCTCTCAAATAAAAACAAAAACCTTCAGTGGCTTTCTGTATACCTAATATCAGACCAATCAGTGCTGCTTATGGGGCCTCAAATTTGCACGAAATCTGCCCCTCCCACTTCTCTGGCCATCTGTCTCCCTCATACTGCTCTCATGTTGGATGAGCCAAGTTATTCCCATCCTGCTCCAGTCTTTGCATGCGAGGGCACTTTTGGCTATTCAAGGTCTCACATGTTCTTACCCTGTATGGGGGAGCCTACCCTGTTGCCCCGCTGCCCCATATTTGGAGCATCTCTCTCTCTCTCTGGACTAATTCCATACAGCTCATACCAGCACTGAGCATCCTCTGTCCTGTTGACTGCCACCCCCTGTGCTCAATGGAAAACTCTGAAGGGAAGAAGGGATGATGCCCACCAGGACCAGAGGGGGCAACCACGACTGCAAAGCCCTCATGAGATTGACCTCACGAGTCATGCACTGCGTGTGTGCGTGCACAGGACCTCGGTGGCTGATTGCCCTTATCTAGAACTCCCGGCTGCCCCACATTTGAACCTTTAACCTCCACGCTGAGCTCCGGTGGTGGCAGACATTAAAGGTGCTCTCACACCTTAGCCATACCCTAAACAGTGCTAACATACCACTCTGTTAAAACCAACACTTCCTCTCACATCACCTCTCTAGTAAAGCGACTCATGTGCTTCCAGAGCCATCCACTGCTGCTGCTCTCCCTCCTCCTCCAAGAGCCCATCGTTGGCCAGCTCCTGCGAGTCCCTCACCATGGCTGCTTTCCCTGCATCCCCACTACCCCATGGTGTGGGCCATGTCCCTCTCCTGGTCTCCCAGCCTTCCTATTCCCTTTCCTTCTCTGACAGGTGTCTCTTCACTGGCATCCCAGGATAAAATGGCTCCTTTCTTTCCATTCTCGTCAAGGTATTGATGGCTGCCCACAAACCTGATGAGTTCAAAGAACCTGGCAGGAATTCCAGAATATTGGGGTAGCTAGCACCGGCCCCGTATTTAACCCCACTGGAGAAGCAGGAGCCCTATCCCATTCAACGCCACCACCTCCCAAGAACTGCAGCTTTGTCATTGGCTTATGTCACCAAGTGAGCCATATGGACTCTTGGTGGTAGAAACACCAACTACTGAACCACACAGGGCATGTGGGGGACCACCAGCTACTCTAGCCATGGACATTTATATTCCAGCCAACTGCAATGCCGTATATATAGTGCTTAATCACAGCTCATCTGCTGCGTGCAGCTGCATGCTGGGCTATGCAGGCACCAGGCACTCACACGGGCTGCAGCAAGCTCCCCTGTGGGCATATGCTCAGTTCACATCTTTCTTCGATGCAGTTAGAAGGTATGCAATGAGCTCCTAGAATGGGCAGCTGGGCTACAACCATTGTCACAGAAGGCAGTTGCCTATTCCCCATCTTTACGACTTCCTGGGAAAGACAACTCTAACAGAAGTTACTCTTCAGGAGTTTCAACCTGGGTTCCCTTGGACCTGCACTTGTCTGACCTTTACCTCCAAACCATCCTGACTTTGGCTTAAACCAGTCAAGGGAAGGTCTTCATTCATGCAGGCAAGGACAGCCCCACCTTCTTCCAAGGGCCCCAACTTCCCAATTCAGTACAGAGCAGAGCAGGATTATTGACCTGGTTTTAGATGAGAAGGGGACTGAAGGGTTCATTTCTCTGCCAGTGGTTGTTTTGGACTCTTTGCATTTGGGGATGAACCACAATGAATCCAGCCCTGGTATTGCCGTTGGTGCCCACAACAAAATTAACTCGTCCCGATACAGATGTGGGAGATTGTGGAATGCTGCTTTGATTCCACCATTGTTCTACAAGATGTGGTACCCGTCCCAGGATCCACTGCCCTGTTCTGCAGCACTCACTCACGTGAAAGGGTGGGACGGTATGGGGGAAATGATGGTCTTGCCACCGTTACCATCACACAGCTTTATAGTCTAGCTGTAAAGACAGGATCACAGCACAGCAAAAGCATGGGCTTTCCCTCAGAGAGAGGAAGAGAGAGGGAGGGACCTGGGAGCTGGCATCAAAGTGCAGTAGAATAAGTTTCTGCCTGTGGCACCGGCATCACAAATGGGTACCCAATTGAGTCCTGGTTGTTCCACTTCTGATCCAGCTCCTTGCTCATGTGCCTGGGAAAACAGCAGAGAATGGCCCAAGTGCTTGGGTCCCTGCACATGTGTGGGAGACCAGGGAGAAACTCCTAGTTCCTGACTTTGGATCTGCTCAGCTCCAGCTGTTGCAGTCATTTGGGGAGTGAACCAGTGGGTGGAAGATCTCTGTCCCTCCTTCTCTCTGTAAATCTGCCTTTCAAGTAAAAATAAAAATGAATTTTTAAAAAGAGGGACTTACACTAGATGCCAACAAAAGGAACCCCATTTTCCCTACATCTCCTTCGGGAACAAGAGTGAAGTCCTGGGAGGGAGGTGACTGCTGGCACAGGCTTTGATGTTCCCCGGATTTGTCTTCTCCACCCAGACTATGGGGCCCACAGGAGGGGAGACCTTTCCACAGTGGTCCAAGGACTCCTCCTTTTCCCTCACTGCCTCGCTGGCCAGTGGGAGTAAGCTGTGTCACCAGGCACGCTCTCCCACAGTGAGGGGAAAGCAGAGCACACAGCAGACGGCAGTCCTCCCTGGAGGCACCTGTAGTCCTCCGCTCCCAGAGGCTTGCCCAGGTTGGCTGAATCTGACTTAAGGGCCATTAGAGACACTATGTGCTTAACAAACCAAAACGTGGGTGAGGTCCCCTGGGGATTTCACTGGTCAGTCACACCATAGGGTGGGGACCCCGCAGTGCTGGCTCCAAGGCTGATGAATCAGCCATTTCTTTCGTTCTTACTGCGCAGGCCCCCTCGGTTCACGCGGCACACGCGCTGACTCCCCACAGAGCTAGTCAGTTGAACACTCATGAGCTGTGTACTAATTGGTGAGGATGGGGTGGGCGGCGGCGTCTGGGAGGAGCCCCGCGCCCCAGGAGAGTATCCCTGAGTCTGCGCGATCAAGAATATACTGAGAACAGGAAATTTCATCTGCACTAGGGTGCATAGGTGATGCCGTCTCCTTGGCTGGGACATGACTTAAGGGGTCTTGGTCATGAGGAGGACTCGCCCATCGCATTTGGGGTTGACGGCCTCCCCGGGACTGTGGATGGGCAGAGTTCAACGTGAGTTTCATTCAGAACCTTTTGTAAGTTTGGTTTTTCAAAATGTTCTCAGAACACCCCGATGAATAAGCAGAATGCTATTAGCGCTGTGGTAACATAGCTGATGCAGCCATCTGACTGTGCTCACCACCACTCCCAATTCTCAGGCATCTCTGGCCACCCAGCACTGGGTGTCCCTACCATGAAAGTTCTAGAAAACTATATATTATGAAAAGAAAGCATGTGTTGATTTTGAAATTTTTGTGCCAGAAAAAAATCTACCTTTTTGATTCCATTGTTATGAACATTTTACAGACTATACTCTTTGTTATGAACATTTTAAAGCCCCAGTGTACATGAATGAAATTTCAAAAAAATTTGGCAGCTCCCTCCCCCCTCAAAAAAACCCAGATTCTTTTATTCCATTTTTCCACGATCATTTTGGAGATGGCCTCATACCTGGGGGGTCTGTTCAAGCGACGTAATTAAAAAACAGGTGTGTCCTTCTGGCCAGCCCCGTGAGGCGACTCGTCCCCACCCACTGTGTGCAGCAGCACCCTGCCTGGGAGATGTCAACAGGCTTCCTCAGACTCTGCTCTCTCCTTGCCCCCTGGTCCTCGGGTCTTCTCCTTTCTGGCTGCAAGAAACTTTACTCCTTTGATCTCCCCACTCCCCTCCCTCCCCGGCTAACCCCCTTCCCCCACGGCTTCCTTTTCTGGTTTTTCTATCCCTTAGCTGCGGGAGGTGCACAGCAGGCCTGCCTCTCTCCCTGGGCAGGGAGTGCCCAACCTTTCCCCAGAGGACGAGTGCTGAGAACTGCTGGGGCCAGCCTTCTCCTGGAGCCTCCGGCTTTGGCCTCCACGGTGAGTCTCCTGCCTCCTCCTTCTCCCCTGGCCCAGTCACCTGTGTCCTCCATCGTACGGTGCCGGTGAAGACTCCTAGAAGTCATCTCACTCACACTCTTTGTGTGTTTGCAGGGATCACAGACACCAGGCATTCTGCCAGGAACTTCTAGCAAGGTAAAGGTAACTTGGTGGTGATCGACTCAGACTCCTTGCAGGGTGAGTAATACTAACTTCCCCACCCACGCTGGTGAAGTTTGGGTTCATAGCAACATGTGTATCCGTACCTTAAAGGAAGGAAAGGAGATGCAGGTGGTGGGCACAGGTGACAGGAAGGTGGCCAGGGGCTGTGAAAATGAAACTCCTAGGAGGGACCCAGAGAAAGGGTCCTTTGTGGTGGTGACACTGGGAGCAGATAGGACACTGAGAGGCAAACAGATGCCACAGCTGTGTCGCACACTCATGGCAAGTGGTCGTGGAAGACTACCGATGGCAAGGCCAGACCATAATTGCCAGGTGGTCTGACTGCCCCTCTGTAACTGTGTGTCCCTGTCGCTGTCTGTGTGAGGTCGTGTCACAGAGCAAACATCTCTGAAAAAATGCATGTCAGTTATCTAATGTTAGCTGTACCGCTGAAGGGTGTTTGGCGGGGTTCTGTTTTCTTAGAGAGATGCTTGCATTTGGGGGTTCTGTTTGTGCACTGTGAAAAGATAGAAATGAGATGATTTCAAATGACTCATCGTGGGTACCACTTGGTTCTGTGAAGCACAGTCAGCTCTTTGGTTCTGAAGTAGCCTGCTTGGAAGGCAGCCGGTCCTGCGGGTCAATTTGGGTGGAGGCTGCCCCCCTCACTCCCTTTGCTGAAGGAACCAAAGCACCTACAGCTACATGGCTCACAAAACTACCCCCCCACCATCACCACCAAGTGGGAGAATAGAAGCAGAACTTACAAAAAAGAAAAAAAAAAGCAAGAGATGAGTCAACCTCCATATAGCAAACTGGACAAAGATCCCAACTCACCGGTAATGTCCCTCCCATTGGGCTGCCATGAACCCTAGAGGCTATGGGTGTGGGCAGGTGCCCACTGGCTATGTGAGGACTGGGGAGTACAGTCAGGGGGCTGGGCAGCGCTGGGTTCCAGGCTGACCTTGCTAACAGGCACCTTTCATCGCTGAGCAGTCTGTAATTCTTGGGCTCCTTTCCTTTCCTCTACCCGGCACCCCAGCATCCTCAGCATCAGGATTTTCTTTTTTTGTTTTTGAGGTGTTTTTCTCGACCTAGAGCAATGACCACCCTTCTGCTCACAGCATGTCCCTGTATTCTTGTGCCTTTGAGGGCTAGTAAAAGTACCATCTCTTCAATGATGGTTGTCTGGATTTGCTTAGTCCTAGTTCTGACGGTGCCCTACAGCCCTTTCCGTTGTTGGTATTTGTTGCTGCGACTTTTCCCACTGTACTTGAGTGGGAAGTTCCTTGAGGTCATGGTTCATCCCTGATTCCCGGTGAAAGCCCAGCAGGTGCAGGTTGGCTGTGGGGTAAGGCAGGTGCCACACAGCTCTCTGTGTTCCACAGACAGCATTTTCACAGATCATTGTCCCTGACCCTGGCCAGCAAGCCCTTGAATGAGCTGGGCTATCTCCTCCTCCACTACCCACCTCCTCCAATGCCCAGGAAGCTCAGGCTTACTGAGAGTGTGTCATTTCTTGCCAAGGTCACTAGGGCACAGAGAGGTGGGTTAAGGGGTAGGTGAGGGTTATGACCTTGGGTCCAGTGTTTTTTTTTTTTCCCCCGCCACACTTCCTTATGCTGCAAAAACACAGGCACCTCTTAGAATTGGGGCAGCTGCTGCACACTGACTCAGCTGTCCATCACTGCTGGTATGGGGCTGGAGGCTCCTGGCTCTCCTGTGTGGGGTCTTGGGTGGGTTTTTTTCCCCCTCCTTATGCTTTCCCTTCCTACTCGGGATCAAGTAGAAAATGAATGCAAGCCGGTGCCTGCGCAGCTGGCGGCACCACACATTCAACAAGTCTCCACGAAGTTCCCAGACACCGTGGCGTGCACCTGGGCAGCTGGGCAGCCGCGTGCTCTGCTGTCACAACTCACCTCTTTCCAGTTTCTCTCCAAACCAGATGCACATTTGCCATGGAAGGAAGAGAAACTTCTACCACACAGCTAGTGAGTGCAGGATTTTGCCGGTGCCAAGAATAGTCTGGGGGAGTTTAATCGCTAGCCTTGAACTCGGGGTACCAGCTGCTTCCGCACCAGCTGTGCAGGCTGCAAGGTGCCCCTTCAGATTTTGTAAGCAGTTGTGCTGAGAGGGCACAAGCTGCTTATTTATTTATTTATTTATTTATTTATTTAAAGACTGACATTTCTATGAAAGGCCTTACATTTTCAAACATTTGGCAAAATGATTTGAATCATTTATAAAATTTAGATCAAAGTCTTGCTTCTCATCCTTCTTCCAAAAGGCATCTCAGTACACAGCACCAGGGAGGCGCACACACACCTACATGCATCTAAAGAACATTGAGCCTGTCTTCTGCACCTGGCATTTTGATCTGAAAACCTTGGTGAGCTCTTTTCTATCAGCCCTGAGGTCTTTTTTTCATAAAAATTATTATCAGTTTTATATGCCTGTGGTGTGAGATGGCTGATGTTGCCAAGTGCTGACTATTAAGGTGGTTTTTCAGTTTCTTGTTCTGGGAGGGAGTGTGTAGCACATGGAAATGCCTGGGAAAGTGCATGGAATGTGGCTTTGAAAGATAAGGATGTTTGGGGGAGCAAAAGGAAATGTTGAGAGCTGTACCTATTTGTTTTTTCTTCCCCAGCACACACAGCTCCCACAAATATTTTGAAACCTTGTCTTAGCATCTCCTCATGAGCCTTTGTTTTTGCGAGAAAACCAGCAGGTGCAGTGCAGGGTTGGAGTTTTGCTGTTTAAATTTTAACTGTGGGGCTTTCACTCCCACCCCCAAGAGGCAAACACATTCTCCACAGCAGGACCCAGGTCTGACCCTGAGGTCTTAGCAATGCCATTATCATCTATCACCACTTTCAACTTGTTCTCCCTGCTTAGAACCACTTTCTTTTTTTGGTTGGCTTCTTTGGGAATTTTTCTGATGTCTTCTGATTCATTCAATTCCTTCAGTTAGTAAAAAGGAGGTGGCATGAGCCATGCACGTTAGAAAAATCTGAAATATTTTCTAACCTATGTCTCAAAAGCCCATTTTCCAGTTCTCCAAGGAGTAGAAAGATGAAATTTGAAAACCGAACATTTGTCATCTGGCAAATAAAACAAAACAACAAAACCCAAGCAACCGTGACTCCCAGCCTCAAGTGGCTGCTGGGGAATCTCCCCCTTCCAAACAGGCTGATGTGTGTTTTATTTTTTGTTTTTGTTTTTTAATGGCACCTGTGTGGGAAAATCACTCCATGCCTGGAACAACTCAGACACTTGGGGGAAAGGCATCTATTCTTGTGCTTGGGAAGAAAAGTACAGAGCACGGTTTTCCTGAAGAAATCGGTTTCTGTGTGCTGAGAAATGTCTCAAATAGCCATAAATGTCTGAAAAAAAAAAGCCATCCAGTGCCCGACCCTGTAGGCAGAATGCTCAAAGTGTTTGTATGTTGTGGGGATGATGGAGGGGCAAGGCTCAGTCCCTACAGGAATGCTCCAGGAACAGGAAATGCTCATAGCATGTTCAGCTGGAAGAAGGAAGAACATTCTAAGCATGTGCACACCCAGAAAGGAGCTGGGGAAGGGAGCAGGAAGCCAAGAGCGGTTATGAGGGGAAGCTTGGGGGGAGGACGGGGAGCAGACGGGAAGGTATGGCCTGGGATGGCTTTGTTTTCTCAGTGCTCATGGATTTATCAGATTTCACATTAAAAGGTGGTGCTTTTATAATGATGTTAAGAGAAAAAATTTAAAGGTATATGCCAGAAATATTGCCCCGCTCCATCTGATGGTTTCTGGGGGGACTTGGTTTATTCCCCAGGACACCACTGGCTGGTCCAGGCCCGAGGCTGAAGCTGCCCACACTTGTTTCTGACTCAGGTTGATGGGATAGGGATGGGAAAGAGAACTGCTGAGCAACACAGGAAAATGGGCCAAGCCCAAGAGGTTGGGCTGGGGACGTTCTATAGCCGCTCACTGACCAGCAAATGGGAAATGCTGGGCCAGTTGCCATCCAAGGAGAAAGAGAAAGGTTGGGCTTAGGGGACAGAAATTGGGAGTTGGGAAGGTGAAGCAGGCATCCAATGTGTCCTTTCAGGGTCGTTGGGCTTGGCGTCACCGTAACACAAGCTCTCAATCTTGGTCAGCAGTTCCTTCCTCCCCCATGATTTTAACAGTATTTCATATCGAGTCTGAATTTTTTGGTTTCTGGGTGTTCCCTGTCACTTATAGCCAGGACACTGTTTGATTTTTTGCCTTCTCTTTCTAGGAGCGGATTTGCAACCCACCGCCATGACCCCCACAGAGTTTGCAGTGAGTATGGCTGTGCTTGCCCTTGGGTGCCTAACACACGAGTGCACACACACACGAGTGCACACACACACACACACACACACACACACACACACACACACTCTTCCCTCTTCCCCTTTCTGGGGCGTGGGAAGGAATCCGTGGTGGGGAAGCATTTCTCAGTGTGGTTTCCCACAATGCGCTCTCTGCTGAGCAGTGCCCACGGCTTGGGCCCGCTGTGGCCCAGCCCAGTGGACTTGGCAAATGCAGAGCGTTTGGGTGGTGAAACAGTCTGTGATGACATAAGAAAATGTGGCTTTAGATTTTATTGACAGCGATGTTTTTTTTTATGATCTTTAATTAAGACTGATTCTATATTTTCCAGCTCAAGCAAAACAGGACAAAAAAGAAGCCGTTAAAACAGCTTTGAGTTAATTTTTACTTATTTGAAATAGGACAGAAAGAGACAAAAAGGAAGACAGAGAGACTGACCTACAGACTCTCTCTTTCTCTGTCTCACACACACACAGAACTTCCTATCTACTAATTCCTTCTCCAAATACCCACAATGGACAGGGCTGTCAGGTAGAAGCCAGGTGCTGGGAAGTCAAACCTTGTCTCCCATGTGGGGGGCAGGGACCCGATCACTGGAAGCATGGCCTGTTGCAGGACTCACAGCAGAGTCAGGCCTGGCCCCCAGGCACTCTGATATGGAACAGGTGTCCCAACTGGGGGTCTCAATTGGCAGGCAAAATGCCACCTCTGAATTGTTTATAAAAATGTGGCCATCACTGTAGTGCAGTGCATTAAGCCACCAGTTGAGCTGCAAACATTCCCATATCAGAGTGCTGGTTCAAGTCCCAGCGGCTCCACGTTCTAGTCCAGCTCTTTGCTGATGCACCTGTGAAGGCTGTGGAAGGTGGTCTGAGTGCTTGGACCCCCACCGATCACGTGAAAAACCCAGATGGAGCTCTAGGTTTCTGACTTTGACGTGGCCTATCTGTGGCCTCTGAGGTCATCTGGGGAGTGAGACAATAGATCCAAGACCTTTCTCTCCCCTTTCTGTGTCATTCTGCCTTTCAACTACCTACCTATCTAAATCTTTGAATTGCTTTTTGGATACCCAGGGTGAGCACTTTATATTTCTTGCATCACATTCTATAAGCCACACATTGTGGTAAACACTTCTTTGAATAAAAAAGAGCTGAACAAATGCTAGTGAATAAAATTATTACATAAAATTATTATTATTACTAACAAAATTCAGATAATTCTCTTTTTTTTGTTCCATCCAAGTACAATTAACTCTAAGATTAAATCAAATTCCAGGGCTCTTGTTAGCTTCGCAAATGCCCAGTGGACCTCTTGAAGTGGTCCTCTCAAAGTGTGTTTCACACATTTGTGGAAGGCCAATCTTCCTAGGGGGTAGAGTTGCCCCAGGTTTCCATGAACTATGTAGCGCCATGGCTGAAATAGTTTAAGTTACCCAAATTATTCATGGGACGATCAGATTCTTTCTTTTTTCTTTTAAAAATATGTATTTATTTGAAAGGAAGAGTTACAGAGAGAAAGGGAGAGAAGTCCTCCCTTTGATGGTTCACTCTCCAAATGGCCACAAAAAGTTAGGGCTGAGCCGATCCAAAGCCAGGAGCCAGGAGCTTCTTCAGGGTCTCCCACACAGGTGCAGGGTCTAAGGCTTTGGGCTGTTCTCTTCTGCTTTCCTAGGCCACAAGCAGGGGAGCTGGATGGAAAATGGGACAGTTGGAACTTGAGCCAGCACCCACACGAGGATGCCAGTGTCATAGGTGGTGGTCTTATATGCTGTGCCAGAGTGCTGGCCCTGAGGCTTGTGATCCTTGAGCATTACGTGTACACACCTGTGTCTGTTTTGTGAGAGAGAAAACCATGTTGACCTGATGTCCCACTGCATCAGTAATACCCTGCAGTTCACAAATCTGCAAACAGCAGTTGTGTCACACACTCCTGTGCATGAGTGGTGCTGTAAACTGTGTCTGGCTATTTTTGGTTGCTGTTGCAGAAGGCTACAGGGCTCAAAGGAAAGCAAGTTTATCGGGCTTGGGGTTTTGGAGGCTGAAAGGCTCCCACCTGGGTGCCTCACTGGTCCAGCTTCTGATGAGGCCCTCCTGGCTGCCTCGTGACACAAGGGGTGGCAAGATGAGAACAGCAAGTGTGTGTGTGTGTTTGGGGGGGGGTCACATGGTGCAACAGGGATCAAGAGGGATCTGGAGGGCTTGTTCACTCTAACCTTCCATACTTCAATGGGAGTGTCTGGAAAACTGCATGTACTGCTCCAAAGCATCCTATTAAACAGGCTCCATCCCCACCAACCACTTTGAGGACCAAGCTACCAGTGTGCAAAACTGTAAGGGAACATACTCAAACCATATCCAAGCCATTTCAGACCCTGGGCAGACATCCTCAGGAGTCCTACTCCCTTACACATACATGCCCATGCCCCTGCCATCAGACAGGATCTGCACAAGATTGTCCTTGACCCTAACACTGCCTTATGACCCCTCTGCAGAGCCTTATGGCTAACATGTCTGATGACTACAACTACGACTCCACGTCCTCCATGGATGAGTACATATCCTTCAACATTACTGACTTCTTCTGTAAGAAAGGCGAGGTCAGGCAGTTTGCCAGCCACTTCCTCCCGCCCTTGTACTGGCTCGTCTTTCTTGTGGGCACCGTGGGTAACAGCCTGGTCGTTCTCGTATACTGGTACTGCACCCGAGTCAAGACCATGACTGACATGTTCCTTCTGAACTTGGCCATCGCCGACCTTCTCTTCCTGGCCACCCTCCCCTTCTGGGCCATTGCCGCCGCCGACCAGTGGACATTCCAGACCTTCCTGTGCAAGGTGGTCAACAGCATGTACAAGATGAACTTCTACAGCTGCGTGCTGTTGATCATGTGCATCAGCGTGGACAGGTACATCGCCATTGCCCAGGCCATGAGGGCACAGATCTGGCGGCAGAAAAGGCTGCTCTACAGCAAGATGGTTTGCTTCATGGTCTGGGTGGTGGCTGCTGCCCTGTGTCTCCCGGAGCTCCTTTACAGCCAAACCAAGAAGGAGTCTGGTGTTACCATCTGCACCATGGTTTATCCCAGGGACGAGAGCACCAGACTCAAGTCGGCCGTCTTGACCTTGAAGGTCATCCTGGGCTTCTTCCTGCCCTTTGTGGTCATGGCTTGCTGTTACACCATTATCATCCACATCCTGACCCAAGCCAAGAGGTCCTCCAAGCACAAGGCCCTCAAGGTGACCATCGCTGTCCTCACCGTCTTCGTCTTGTCTCAGTTCCCTTATAACTGCATCCTGCTGGTGCAGACCATTGACGCCTACGTCACGTTCATTTCCAGCTGTGCCGTCTCCACCAATATCGACATCTGCTTCCAGGTCACCCAGACCATCGCCTTCTTCCACAGCTGTCTGAATCCTGTTCTCTACGTCTTTGTCGGTGAGCGGTTCCGCCGGGATCTCATGAAAACCCTCAAGAACTTGGGCTGTATCAGCCAGGCCCAGTGGGTTTCTTTTACCAGGAGAGAGGGAAGCCTGAAGCTGTCATCCATGCTGTTGGAGACGACCTCAGGAGCTCTGTCCCTCTGAGGGAGTCTCCTCCCTGGGGCGTGGATGGTGCTTTCGAAGGAGTAGTACAGAGAAACCCAGTAGGCAAGAAAAGGACACAAGGCAAATAATAAACACAACTCAGAGATGAATCATAACGGTAGTACTACTTGCAGTGAGCAGTGTGAAAACAGCGTTTTTGTCTTGGTAGCAGTATTCCTGACATTTTCAGAGGACTAAGGGACACCTGAGGGACCATGTGTTGGCTTGGCCACTTGCCCTAGCACAGGTGCAGCTGCCTGCTGAAGGCCATCTGTGGTTTTAGCTCTGATGTTGTTCCTGCCACAAGGGGGAACTGCCGGAACCCGTCCAGAACAGAAGGGAAACTTCCATCGTCAGGAACTTTCCTCCCAGGTTTGGGACCTGACACCTGTGCCTGCCAGTGCTTGAAACAGAATCCTCCCCAACAATCTCAGATCTAATTCCGCTTGGGGTTGTTGGCCTGTTTTAGGCCAATGAGAGTCCTTGATCCTGTCTTAAAACTCTGTGGGACTGGGCAACTGACCACACCAGCAGCTCATCCAGAGTCTGTTGGCTTCCAACCCATTTCTGTGTCTGACTGGTGGCTCCCTAGATTCCATAGCTGGTCACAGGCTTGATCTGGACAATGATTCAGCTTATCTTCAGGTGTGGATGCAGCCCTACCAGCTTGTACGTGGAGACCCATGGTTTGGGTTAGAGCTCTGGCTCCATTATGGGCTTGCTCTGTTGAGTGGCACTTATACCTGGTCCACTCTTCTGGCTCCCAATAGAATGGGCTGGTTCTACTTGCTAAGGCTGATGGAAACTTTTTGCTCCCTGCTTCTTGTTAGTGCCAACATTTCAAAAAGCATTAAATCTGGAGTGAAGCTGGAAAAAAATGTACTGTAATTCACGTTTGCTTTGTGTTTTTAACTATTTGGTGAAGTTTTTACATTTGAAAACATTTTGCATATTGGAAAAATTGCTTCTTACTGTACATTTAAAATGCTTTTATCCTCTTGCTGTTTTTATATGTGTACAATTTAAATCTCAAAGAGTGTTGGAGAGAAATAAATAAAATGTCCAAGTACCTTAAACCCGCTGTCGTAGATGAGTTTTTAGCCCCCCCCAGATGAACCAACTCATTCGCAAGTGTCCCTCAGTTAATCAAATGGGACTTGCACAGAGGGTTCCGGGAGCAGCACCAGAAGCCACCCCAGGCTTTGTTCCCCTCACTGGAGAAAGCATCTGTGCATTGCTGGGGTTTCAGTTTTGATGCCATCCCTTCCCGCAGGGACACAAAAGCGTTGGCCTTGGCCTTATGAGTTAGGGAGAAGCACAGGATAGGGAGAAGCACAGGATAGGGAGAAGCAATGTGAATATGACATGAAAAGCCCCAAGGGAGGGTGAGTAATGCAAACGCCACGTCCACCAGGAGCTGGTGGTAAGAAAGAACTGACCTGCTGGGCCCAGTGCATCATCCTAGGGTGGCTTCCGTGGCCAAGGGCAGGTGCTTTTCCTTGGATGACAGTCACTCATGACTGCCTTGCTAGAATGGATACAGTGCTTCCCCTGATGAGCTCTTGGACAGGTGGATGTGTGGGTGTACCTGTTCATTGCATTAGTACATTTATTAAGATTTAAAATTAACCAGGGGGCCCTGCTGTGTTGTAGTGGGTAAAGCTGCTACCTGTGGCACCAGCATCCCAATTCTTATGCTGGTTGCTCTACTTCTGATTCAGCTCCCTGCTTATGTGCCTGGGAAAGCAATGGAGGATGACTCGAGTCATCAGGCCCCTGCACGTAGGTGAGAGACCTGGGAGAGGCTCCTGGCTTCTGGTGTTGGCCTAGCATAGCTCTGGTTGTTGCAGCCATTTAGGGAGTGAACCAGGAGATCAAAGTTCTTTCGTGTGCTCTGTGTTTCAAATAAATAAATAAATGTTATATGTATATATATATTTAAAAAAAAGCCAAAAGCAGCCATTTCTATATGTACCTCAAGTGTCAGAGTTCTGCTTCAAGAAACCTTCTCAACAGCCAAGGTCTCCATTTGTGAGCGATGGCACAGGGCCTCCTGGGTAGCCATGCATCCTGGGGAATTGGCATTTGAGGGTGAGACTGGTGAGCCTAGCACCAGGCACTCCTCCTACTTTGCCTAGCTTTCCCATGGCCTGTGAGTCACCCGGGGAGTGTGATGTGTAGTCATCACTTCTTCCATGTGTTGGACGTTGCTGTTCTGATTCTGAGGAAGAACGGGCTAGCCTGCAGCGTGCTCCTTCCATTCTGGTCTGGCTGACCTGCCCTTGAGACCGGCACCATGATGGTGTGGGCATGGGTGGGGTTTCTGTGATGAGGCTGGCTAGTATCTGAAGCCAAGGTTGATGTGCAGCCCCCTGGAGGTGACATTGTGGGGTACCTCCACAAACTTCTCTGCTTCAGTACGTGACAAGCTGCCTCCCCGCTTCCACGTTCTCTCATGTTTGTGAGCTTCCGTTGTCCTTCTGTTCTGAGTTTACCTTCTAAGAACTGGGGTGTGCCCGGGCCTTCAGATGGAAGCCCAGGCTCCCATGTCCATGTCCAGAGATCTTTGTCCTCAAGCAAACTGACCTCTCTCCTTGGGCAGCTTCCTCCTCTACGGCCTTGTCAGCTTGTCTCAAGGTGAGGTCTGGCCAACAGGCTCTAAATGACTTTGAAAAAAAGACAATAGGCAATTGTGGCCTCATGCGCTACACCTTATGCATTTAAAACGCTCAGATAACTCTCTCCACTCAATGAATATTTACAGATTGTTTGCTGTGTGTGGTTAAGAAAAGACCACAGCCCTAGATACACTAAGGTCACAGCCAAGATGCTGTGGGGGTTCGGGCCGGATGGCGTTTTCTCCCCTGTCCCACGTGTGCCTCCCTTGATGGTCGAGGTCTGGGGCCACATGTCCTCTGGGGGCTGTGAGATGCTGTGTGCATCATTTCCACATCGTTGCTCTGGAGAATCAACAACTCATTCAGTGACACCAGCAGGGGTGTGTCCCTCTTTCTCTCTCTGTCTTCTACATGTATTTATTTGTACACACTCGATTTTGGTGCTGCAAGCTAAGTAGAAAACCTCTGTGGTCAGATGGAGATATGTTCAGATAGGTCTTGCGGGGAATGTGGTCAGCTCACGCCCTCCAGTCACTGGTGCTGCTGGCCGGGACTGCGCTGCACAGCCGCCCTGCCCAAAGCCAGGGCCACCTGCTTCCGGTGCCTGTAAGGTGTGGTGAGGGCACCTGGGGAGGGTGAAGGCTAACTAGCCGGTAGAGGCAGAGTCTAGCCTCGGTCACCCTCTGCTCAGGCCTGCTTTCCCCTGCTTCTCCTCAAAGGAGTCTATTCTAAGCACACACTTAGCACCTAAACTGCATCTCAGCAATGAGCCCCCTGCTCCCCACAAGTGGTCACAAAGACCCTCACCAGGTGCTATGGATTCCAGGAAGCCACCGAGAGCCCTGTGGTGCAAGGTGCGTGAGGGATGTAGGGAGACGGAGTAGGTAGGAACAGAGATGGATGGAGCTCTTCTGAGAGGCCACAGCAGCTGCTCCATCCCAACATAGCCCAGCTGTTTGGTGAGTGTTCTTGGGTATCAACTGCAGGCTGGTTCTTGGGTATCAAATGCAGGCTGGGGCCCCATGGTGAATGGGACAGACATGGGCTCCCACCAGGTACACTCAATCATCCACTCCTCATAGGGCTGACACAGCCACTATCCTCCCGCCATTCACCTCCTCCCCTACCTTCACTTGGGTGAGTCAGCTCATCCAGGCTCTGAGTCAGAGGACAGGATGGGAATCCTTGGCTCAGACCCTGGGCAGAGAAAGCAGGAACTGGGACCAGATGGTGGCTTCCTCCCAGCCCCTTCCTCCATGCCCCTTCCAGTCACTCTTGCTGTTAAGTAGATGGCCTTTCTAGGAATTGTACGACACCTGTGACTTCAAGTTTCATGTCCGTTTTGAGGTGACTTCTGTACATAATTAGAGACAGGGGTCCAGTTCCAATCTTTGCCGCTTATGGGGGACTGTCCTCTCCTCAGGCTGTATTCCTCGGGGCCTTTGTAAAAAATCAGCTGGCTGTGGATGTGTAGGTTTATTTCTGCCATCCCTATTGCTTTTCATTGGTCTAGGTGTCTGATTTTATGTTGGTACTATTTTGATATTTTGATACCGTTTTGATATTACTGTTTTGATACCGTTATGATATTACTGCTTTGTAGTATTTTTTTTTTAAGTCAGGTAATGTGATGCCTTGAATTTTGTTCTTTTTAAAGTTTTTTTGTTTTTTTAATTTGAAAGGCAAGGTCAGAGAGAGAGAAAGAGAGAGAGATAGAGAGAGAGAGAGAGAGGAGGTGGGGAGACATACAGACAGAGACCTCCCACCTGCTGGTTCACTCGCCTAGATGGCTGCAATAGCCGGGGCTGGGACAGGCCGAAGCTAGGCATTGGGAGGAAGCTTAAACTGCTATGTCACAATGCTGGCCCCAGTTTAGTTTTTTTCTGTTCAATGTTGCTTTGACTATTTAGGGTAGTTATTGGTACAGCATGAATCTTTGGACTGTTTTTCCTAGTTCTGTGAAGAAAGTTTTCCAGGCATTTTGAAAAGGATTCCACTAAGTTACTTTGGGCAGTGTATTCTTCTCAACAATACAGGTGTTTTCCCACACACTGTCACATAGAATATAGGATACTTTCCCACTTGTTGTGTCCTCTACATTTTTTTAATCAATATTTTAAGTTTGGAGATCTTCTACTCCTCTGGTTAAATTTGTTCCTAATGTTTTAAAAAGCTGCTATCAACTGGGACTGCTTTTTTTTTTTTTTTTTAAAGATTTATTTTTATTATTTTTTATTGGAAAGGCGGATATACAGAGAGGAGAGACAGAGAGGAAGATCTTCCATCCGATGATTCATTCCCCAAGTGAGCCGCAACGGGCCGATACTATGCCGATCCGAAGCCAGGAGCCTCTTCCGGGTCTCCCACGCGGGTGCAGGGTCCCAAAGCTTTGGGCCGTCCTCAACTGCTTTCCCAGGCCACAGGCAGGGAGCTGGAAGGGAAGCGGGGCTGCCGGGATTAGAACCGGTGCCCATATGGGATCCCGGGCGTGCAAGGCGAGGACTTAACCACTTGCGCCACCGCGCCGGGCCCGGGACTGCTTTTTAAAAATCTCTATTTTGAGGTAGTTTGCTCCTGGCACATAGAAATAGTACTGATTTTTGGTATATTGACTTTGTATCCTGCGAATTCACTGAAGGTGTTTATTAGTTCTAATAATATGACAGCATATTCACACAGGAAATGAATTCATTAGTCAGGGAGATATCTCCACACCCATAATTACTGTAGCAATGTAAACATCAGCCAAGACTCAGAATCAAGCCGCACAGCCACCAAAAGGAGAAGGGCTAAAACATGTCACCTGCTTGTTTCAATAATGGAACACTATCCAATCACTGAAAATAACCGCGTCTCATCGCTTGTAGCAGCATGGGATGAGCTTGGAGGATACTGTGTTCAGTCAACTAAACCAGGCACAGAAAGACAGCTCACTGCATCATCTTACTGATATGTGGAATCTTAAAAAAAAAAACAACAAAAAAGCTGACCTCATGGAAGACAAGGGAGGAACAGTGGTTCCCAGAGGTTAGGAAGGGAAAGGGATAGGGGGCTGGAAGGGGAACGGGGAGAGGATGGGAGAGGATGGTCTGTGGGGGCAGTTACAGTGAGAGGTGGAACCAGTCTTGCCATCCCATTGCACAACACAGCCATGGTTCCCAATCACACACAGATGCTTTCCAAACGGCTGGGAGAAAAGATCACAAGTGTTCTTACACAAATGACAACACACACACCACACCACACCACACCACACCACACCACACCACACCACACCACACCACACGAGAATGACAAATATTTTAGGTGATAGATATACTAATTATCCTGACTTTATCACTAAACACGGTAGGTATACGTTATAACACTGTATCCCACAAAAATGAAAGCTTATTATGTTCCACTGAAAAATACATACATATTTTACTAAGCTGTTATGACTTGAGCTTGCAGGAAAGTTGGACATTTGGTTCTGTACTAGGAA